ACTGCCCAGAGTCACTTCTTTGTGAGATGGGCGGTATCTAAATTTGAAATATAAATAAATATAAATAATAATAGTTTGTAGAATGCCACAGACATAATCTTGACTTTAGCAAAGCATTTCACCAAAGTATTTAAAGATATGCTGATTGATAAGCTAATTAAATGTGGACTGGGTACACGTTTATTAAGTAGATAACACAGATGGCTTGAAAATCATACTCAGAGTATTCATCAATGGTTTATCATAAATTGGAGAGAGGTATCAAGAGGGGTACCATAAAATCAGTCCTGGAGACTCAACTCGACTCTACCTATCTAGGGCCCACACACATCCCTTTTTGGATTTTCAAAGTTGGGCATAGTTTGCTGCAGGGAATGCTGAATTCTAGTAATTGTTGACCACTGGAAAAATCCCAACAGTTTAACCTTTAAACTATAGTGCAGAACCATTGAAAAAAAATTGGAACAATCCCAACAGTTTAACCTTCAAACTATATTACAGAACTATTGAGATCTAACATGATTATGCATCTGAAAGATGTTCAACTTCTCAGTTGGAACCTGAACAATATATTACATGGAATCGATGGCTACCTCTTAACTGACTTCTAAAGATGGCTGAAATGGAAATGAGATCTGATCTTATCAAGAGTTCCCTATCACCATTTGACTTTATTGGCTAACATGTTGATAGCTGGAGATAACACCACTGGAAAAAAGCTACAGCTTTGTCTCTTGATAATATTATGTTCCAGATTACAAGGGAGACATTAGGGGAAAGGTGGGCCTGTGAATGCCATCTCTTTTTCAAAATACATGAACCTTAAAGTTCTCTTCCTAAACATTGGACACAATACAGGATGTCTACAAATCACAAACTTTAATACACTTACCTCCTTTAAAAATCACTATGGTCATTTTATGTACATACATGTTTGGGAAAACTAGAATAGTCCCCTGCTATAGACAGATAATATACTTTTGCCACTAGAGGGGCATGTGAGGGGGGTATCTTTTAGGGGGGTTACTTTGCCATTGCACCCAATCTTGGCTAACCACAGCAATTCTTTGTTTATAAATGAAAGTACTTTATGGGAGGAAATCCTAATTTTTCTAATTGAGAGAAAGTAATTTAGGAAAAAAAAATACATAAATGCACATGGTGCTCTCCTTGCTCTCCATAAGATTGTTTCATCCAAACATAAATGCTTAAATATAATACATATTCTGCAAACATCACTCATACAGTATTTCATACTTTGTAAGGAAAAATTGCCTTCATGAGTATAATACCAGTACCTGTTCATAGTTGCCCAGTGGGACAAACAAAAGATGACATGGATTCCCTAAGATCTTTTTCTTTACAAAAAACAGCAGCTCTAGAATGGGGTTGAATAAATCAGTTATGGCAGTGGAAAGGGAAGGTTAACCCCACACCCAATGTCCCATTTCAATGTAACTTATTATTTTTTTTGCTAATACTGGGAGATGGTATTGGGGCAATTTAAATCAGGGTGCTCGTATAGAGTTACTTTAACTCAACCCCGATCCAAATCAGTCCCACCCTGTCCTTGTTTGTACAGAGAAAAAAAGATGTCAAAATTAACTAGGAATTTCTATCACCTCTAGTTTAGCCCTTAAAATATCAGATATGCTTAGCAATAACTGAGAAAAGTACCTAAAATATTAAATCTTACCCTCGAGAAGTCAAAATGTGGCTCATATTGTCCTCCCATGCCATAATTAGCAACCTAAATGCAGACAAAATGACAATATATTAGCAAAATAAAAGCAAAACCTTTTAAGCAAAATAAAATATGGTAATCTTTCATAACACATTTTATTTTAAAAACATCAGTATTGCATGCTGAATGTGTGTCAGTACGCTGCATATTCCTCTGCGTTGGTGAGATGTGGGCAACAATAGGTTGATTGCAAGGAAATCTACAGATTAGAGATCTTATCTTGATAGAACAGGATGAGCGTGCTTGGGATAAGACTTGGTTTGCTTGTACTTGTGGCATGCTGGTAAAATTTCCTGAAACTCTCCTTACCCATAGCAAGGAATATCGCATGTGGTATAGGTATATATGTATGTATGTATGCATGCATGATGCATGCATGCATGCAACACTAGTATGCTTGGTGCTTTAACTACTACACAGAGGATTGGTTTTATCAATCTATAATTCAGCATAGGATAATCTGAGGAAAATAGTTTTGAGAAGACTGAATTGTCCACATGGAATGACATATGAGATAGAAAAAGGAGGAAAATTCTCTATAGAGAAACTGGCTTTTTTATTCTTGAATAGTTTCACATTTTTTCTTAAGCTATGTCAAAAACAGCAATTGGAGGAGAGCTGATCACCATCTTTTTTGCAGTAGAAATTCCAGTTGTGCAGATGTCCAAAATCTCAGCTCTTTGTCCTGCTCTGTCAGCCAGAGACTGCATTATTTTTTAAATATAATTCTTCATACTAGGTGCTGGCCTAGAATCCAGGAGATCATGAGCTCTAGGCCTCCCTTAGGCATGAAAGCCAGCTGGGTAACTTTAGGCCAGTCACTCAGTCTCAGCTAAACCCACTTCACAGGGTTGTTGTGCTAGTGAAAATCGAAGGCAGGAGTATTAAGTATGTTTGCTGCCTTGAGTTGACCAAATTTTTAAAAAGTGGGATAAAAATCTAATAATAATAATAATAATAATAATAATAATAATAATAATAGTAATGATAAATACTGAAGGGAACCTATTGGATTTGAAACTGTAGACATTTTTCTGCTATTTTTTTAAAAAAATAGATAATGACCCTAAAAATGGGTGAATTTTGTGCAAGTACGGTGCCCATATAGTTAAGCTTCCTGTTAAATGTTATTGGCAGCCATTACTATTTACAGAGTTTTGAATTATAAAAATCTCAATCAAAATATGAAGATAATCTCTCCCTTTTTGGGGGTGGGTGGGATGGGGGCCTACTTTTTGTTTCATAATTTTCAGGGCATTACACATTCAACAACTTTCATGCAGTTCTGCTTCCAGAGACAGAAGGCAGGCCCTTGCCTGAAGGAAGAACCAGTAACATATTTACCTGCAATAATTCAGCTGTTTTGGTAGTTAATCCTGTAATCTGCTCCATTCGATGATTTACTTTGGCAACAACCAGGTCATCCTCTTCTTCCAGCCATGAACTTGCAGAAAAAGATTTTGTACAAGAATTTAAAACCTCAACTCACTGTGAAATTTAAAACACACATACCAACACACTTCCTTGCATAACTTCATCCATCTTTGCAAATGGGTCAACATTTATAGCACTTCTTCACAAATCAACTTTTAGGCTTTAGTCTCTAAGCAATGGCTTATATAATAACACATTTTAACTTGAAATCAAAATTGTATGTTTTAACTCATGATACATAAAATCTATCCCATAAAGTAAAACAAAAAACAAAAAACAAGAAGAACAGCAAAAATACTAAACATTTCAATTGTTGGTCAGGTTTGAAATGAAGTACATTTCAAAGTTTTAATTCATTATCAATATACAGTGGAACCTCGGGTTACGAACACTTCTGTTCACGAACTTTTCAGGTGACAACCAGCTCTGGCCGCAAAATTTTGCTTCGGTTCGTGAACTCCACCTTGGGTTACGAACAGGATCCGCGGCCATTTTCCCTCTCGTGACCCGGTCCGTGGCCATTTTCCCGCCTGTGACACATGGCCCACAGCCATTTTCCGCCCGACACGTGATCCGCGGCCATTTTCCGCCCCTGACACGTGGTCCATGGCCATTTTCCAACCCTGACACATGGTCCGCGGCCATTTTTCCGCCCCTGACATGTGATCCATGGCCATTTTTCCGCCCCGACATGTGATCTGCGGCCATTTTTCCACCCCTGACACGTGATCCGCGGCCATTTTCCACCCCTGCCGCGTGGTCGTAGGGAGGGGGACTCTCCCTCCAAGCAATAGCCACCTCCCTGTCCTCCACGCCAGAACAGATTAACAGTAATTACATTGAACCTTATGGGAAAATTTGCTTCGGGTCGCGACCAATTCGGAATGAATTAAGTTCGTAAACCAAGGTTCCACTGTATTTGGAAGTTATTCATAAGAAAGGATGGACTTCATTCTTACACAATTTACCTTTTAGAAACCCGATAGTTGGCTACTGTTAAAACACCTGTTTTGGGGTCCCGGACTGTAGCTCTTGCCAACTGTATCAAAAGATATGTAAGATTTACTAACTCAAATAGTACCAAAAATACATGCCAAACTCATCTTGCACTATTATTCCCAACCCTTATATGCTTACATCCCACAGATTCTTTTAAAAATGATGTACAGTATTGCAGCTAGAGTTTATTCTATACAGTCTGAAAAGTGAGATACTGCATTAGTGGTAAACAAATTCATCACTGTAAAGTCTATTATATTCTTTTGACTCCTGGGGGATCAGAGGTGGGAAGAAGGTGGCTTTTCCTCAGCACACCTCAAGCTCATACTACAGTTTTTCTTGGCGGGTCGGGGCAGGACTATAGACTTTACCTCACTTGTACCATTCTTATACAGGTAGTCCTTGGTTAATGACCACTTGTTCAGGGACTGTTCGAAGTCACGACAGCACTGAATAAGGAGACTGATGACCAGTCCTCATAATTGCAGCCGTTCAGTATCCCAACGATCACATGACTGCCATTTGCGACCTTCCCTACTGGCTTCCGATAAGCAAAATCAATGGGGAAGCCAGCAGAAGGCTGCAAATGGTGATGTCGCATATAATGACCATGCAGGATTTGCTTAACAACCGTAACTGGAACTGCTGCAACTGCCATTGTAAGTTGGTGTGGTTTATGACCGTGTCGCTCAGTGATGGAATTGCCAGCCCCAATTACCATCATCAAGTGAGGACTACCTGTAATTCTGTAATTTGCTGGTATATGCTGTGGGATTCCTATCTGTTCCTCATGCTGGAGTTAAGAGGAAGATAAATTCTATGCAGGTTGGTGGTGGCAGTGAAAGTAATACAAAGCCACTGTGCCAAGGCAGGGAATCAGGCCAGAATATATGAAACAAAGAGGATTTTAGCGAGAAGAGGGTATAAAGCCCAGTATGATAAGCTGCTCTATATAAACAGCCAACAAACTTCACTTCTTTGTGTCAGAGCACTGATGATGGTACCTAGCCTGGTAATGAAATGTCTGCAGGAAGAAAACCAAGCTCAGACAGTACCACTTCCTGTGCTGAGCTGGGGCTGGGCTTCACGCTGCAGCCGTGGGGCTGCTCTCTGATATACAGATACGGATACAGATAAAGATACAGAGATACCAGCTGGAGGCCCAGCCCCAACCCAGCCCAGGAACACAGTGCCAAAGGGGCTTTTTGGCACGCTGTGGCTCTGGGGCTGCTTTCTGCTTTTTTTTTTTTTTTGCAATGCGAAACCCAGCCCCAGGCCAATCCAGCAGCCAGGCCAGGCATGCCTCATCAGCAGTGGGAGCAAGAAGACAGCAAAGGTCAGCTGGGAAGGCAGAGCACAGGGTGGCAGGGGTCTTGAAGTGCAGGTTGGCAAGGGCAACTGCAGCTGGGACTGGGCTGGGGTGGCTGCAGCTCCCGAATCGTGGCAAGCTACCCCAGAGCCATGCAGTTCTGGGGCTGCTTACCACCCCACAAGGCAGGGTGCAGGGTGGCCAAAAGGGCAGAGATGTCAGGGAGATAGGTGGGTCAGGGGAGTTGGAGGCAGTCCCTTATCTTACTAAGGCTCAGAGCTGGGAGGTACCAAGCCCAGAATGGCTTGGATTGGGCGGGTACTCACTTAACAACCCACAATTCTTGGTTAATGACAGCAACCGGGACTGTCGGGATTGCCATCACTAAGGGATGCGGTCACATGACATCTCGCTTTATGACTGCACCACTTAGCGATGGAAATTCCAGTCCCAATTGCGGTCGTAAGTCGAGGACTACCTGTATGAAAGAGCATCTCTGAGCAAAAAAAAGGATATGCTGGGAGAAAAGAACCCACTGAAAGCTTGTCTCCTGCCAGAATTCTCCAGCATATCTAATATATTCATGCAACAGACTGCATCAATAAAGCAATGATTAGTTTTTACTTAATATCTCTGAGGATTGGCAGAATACAATGAGCAGAAAGTTAAAGTCTGAAGGAAATGGGAATGATTAGGAAGGACCTTATTAAGAGATGAGTTTGGATGAACCAATCAGGATCTGCCCCACCTCATTACCAGTCTGCCTGTAATCATAATGGTATAACTGCACCTTAATTGTTACACAAATATTTATTTAAAGCAGTGCCATTTCACTAAAATTTGTTCTATGCATTCTAATAGACAACACTCATAATTATTCTCTTTGTTAGTATTTTTCTTCCCATGTTTAATTCATTTTTTCCATATTCTTT